GCAGTACATTCTATGCTGACACCGACAGTTTGACCTTACGTTGTCTGTGGGGCGTGTCTCCCACGCAGGGGAGAGAGCGCATACATATGGGTGGAGGGGAGGTGAGGGAAGGTGAGAAGGGAGAGGACCGAAGCGCTGAAGCGCCATGTGAGATCATTGTCGGTGACACAACTCGATTTTTTTCGCGTCTGGTGCCGCGGACAGCGCGACGCCCAGGCCTTACGTTCTTGCGAGTGTCGTGTGCCCTCAGAGGAGGGGGTGCATGCACTTCGCCGCATGCGGCGAGACATGTATTATGGGATGGTGAGGTGGTGAGGACAGGATGGGAGTCAAACTAGGATACGAGAGGCATGCACCTTGATATCAAAGCCGGCCGCCCGCTGACATCGTCTCCTCCTCATCCTCCTCATCGCAATCATAGGTTTATGAAGCCTACTCCAGCCGAGGGTTGGACTACTGCCACTGGATGTGGGCGTGGACGGGGTGCAGGGGAGGGAGGGGGGCTGTCGTCGCCCTTGGTTCCATGTGTTTCTGCAGATCTGGGCGCCCAGAGTTCGGGAGAGCGTGGCCCTGCCGAGGCTGAAACCGCGCTTGGAAGTTCGGGGATGCGGCGGGGGCTCCATGTGGGGAGGGGGGGAGGGGCGGGGTTAGGTGAGCTCAGGGGTTGTTGGCCCGCCGTCGGGCGAGTTTGTTTTTGTACTGGCCATGGCTTAGTACTCAATTCTTCACGCTTCGAATATATATCCACACCAGCCCATCCAAACACGATCGCCAGGCGAGTTGCCTTGATGAGGGATGTTGCGGCATCCGTCTTGTCACCTACGTGACCACCTTGCGCTCGCTGCACCCCGTTTCGAGCACGTGCGCATGTTGACGCAGGGGGGGCGATGAAGACGTGGATGATGAGTACATGTAGCAGCGGCAGCAGGAGGAGGAAGCTGATGGGGAGAGGTTGAGGATGAGGATTCGGATGAATACGAGAAACATGGGACGACGGACGCGACGACGAGACCGAAGAAGACGACGGCGACGGGAGTCGACCATCAACGTATTTGCATATCGTTTGCTCTGAGTGCGTCGTGGAGGCCTCTTGGTGCCATCGCGGGGCCCTGGTTCCATGCTGGGTTCTGTGGCCCTCTTGGTGCTCTCGTGGTGCTCTCTTGGGCTCGCGGAGCGGTCTTGGTGTTCTCTTGGAGGCCTTGGGGGTCATGAGGGTGCCATCTTGGATGCAGATTGGGCAATCTTGGGGTTCTCTAGGGGCTTTCTTGGGGCTTTCTTTGGGCCTCCTGGAGGCATTGCGGCCCTTTATAGTGACTCTCTTGGTGACAGCCTGGAGGCCATCAATGCAATGGGGGAGGGTGGCACTCTAAGTGCGCCCCACCGTCGGGACCCGAAAATAATGTTACGGGGTGCATCTTGGGTCGCTCTTGCTGCGGTCCCTGGCGCGTTTGAAACTGCCTTTACGCTCGTTTGCTCCTCTGGGCCAATCCTCGAGCAACGTTGATGCCTCAAGAGCAGATCGGGCGCGAAAAGGTGATTACGCAAAGCAGAGTCCACATTGAACACGCAATGGGTTTGAATGATTTTGGTATCTTGAGAGCAGTCTTGGGGCGCGCCGTTCTGGGGCGATCTCGAGAGCTAATGCATGTTGATAGCTACATTGAAACATCTTTGGCTATCTTGCACGACCTTGGAGGCCACAGTGTGCCTGGAGCCCTCTAGGGAGCCATCTTGAGCCACCTTGGGCGCTCTAACGGCACGCGGGGCGCCGCGCCACCCTCCAGGCCCAGGGGGTGAGGATGAGGGGGGGGGGGGGGGGGGGGGGGGGGGGGGGGGGGGGGGGGGGGGGGGGGGGGGGGGGGGGGGGGGTGGGGGGGGGGGGGGGGGGGGGGGGGGGGGGGCACTTTCCCCGAAGAGCAGGAGAGGGTTCAGCAGAACGATGCCCCTAGACCACTCAGGCGCTAAAGGGCTGTTTGGAGTCGGCGACACATTTGGTCTTCATGTTCCTGGACTGTTTCCGTTCGCGGCCGCACTCTCGGTTGCGCCTCGCCTACCCCCGCCACCGCCTCCTCCTGCGCCCTTCACCTCTCATGGTCACACCACCCTCCGCGCCCGCCAGCATCCCCAGCACGGTCTACATCGGTTGCACCCTCCTCGGCGCACACCCCCTCCGCCCCAGACCTCCGCGCTCATGAGCACGTATGGGCCACGTATCGCCAGGCTGTCGCGATACATTCTTGACGCTTCGCGTTTCCTCACCAGCAACATTGCTCAGGAGAGTTGACGGGAGAAGACATGAACCAGCGCGGGCAACAACGCTAGATTGGGAGACCTCTGGTAGCGAAGAGCTCGGGTTCTGCTGCTGGTGCTGTTGTTGCTTACACTGCTTCTGTGTTGCTGCTGGTGTTGCTGGTTCTCGTGCTGCTGGTGGTGGTTGTGCTGCTGCTGCGCTGCTGGGCTGGTGCTGCTGCTTGTGCTGCTGCTGGTGTTATCGCTGCTGGTGGTGCTGTTGTTGGTGCTGCTGCTGCTGTTGCTGATGGTGCTGCTGGTGCTGGTGCTGCTGGTTCTCGTGTTGCTGCTGGTGCTGCTGGTGCTGCTGCTGGCGCTGGTGTTGGTGTTGGTGATGCTGCTGCTGCTGGTGGTGCTGATTATGGTGCTGCTGGTGCTGCTGCTAGTGCTTTTGCTGCTGGTGGTGGTGCTGCTGGTGCAGCTGATAGTGCTGGTGGTGCTGGTGGTGGTGCTGCTGCTGGTGCTGCTGCTGATGACGCGGAACTGCGAAAGTCTATGTTGATAATTACCATTCTCTCTTCCTCGATCAGCGACGACTGGTTCTCCAGGAACATGCCCCGCCTGCACGAGCAGTTCCGCCCCGTCTTCGTCCAGGAGATGAAGAAGAGGAGGGCCACACCAGCCGCCGCGCCGCCCGCGCAGGCCCAGGCGCCAGACCTGCTCGACTTGGGCGGCCCCGCGCCCGCCGCGGCCCCGGCGCCCGCCGCGCCCGCGGGCGGCCACGACCTCCTGTCGCTGGACGCCCCCGCAGCGCCGGCGCCGGCCGCGGTGGCGCCCGCTGCTGCGGCGCCCGCAGTTGCGGCCGTGGACGTGCTGCTGGACCTCGGGCTCGCCGGCTCCTCCGCGGGGGCGGCCGCGGCCGCCGCGCCGCCCGCGCCGCTGCCGGGCGGCAGCCTGCTGGACCTCGGCGGCCTCGAGGCCGCGGCGGCGCCGCAGGCGGCGCCGCAGCTGCGGGCCCCCACGGCCGCCGCGGGCGGCGGCCTGCTGGACCTCGACCTGGCAGGGCTGGACGCCGCCTTTGGCGCGCCGGCGCCGGCGGCGGCGCTGCCGCAGACGGCGCCGGCCGCGCAGGCCGCGCCGGCTGGCGGCCAGGGCGGGGGCCTGCTAGACCTCTTCTGAGGTGCGGCCCGGCCAGTGACGCTCTGAGGGTGGATTGCCCACTCCGCTTTCGCTTCCAGGCAGATGCAAGTCGTACCACGCGCCTCGAGCAGCCTGGCCTCTGCGGGCCACCCCGCGGGCGGCTTGGTATCGCTCGGCTCTCGCCTGGAAGCGAGGGTGGCGGAGGGAGGAGGGATATGCCCACCAGGAGGGCCTCGGTCCCTGATGCGCTTGCGCTGCCCTGCCTTGAATTTGCGCGGTCCTAGCCAATGCATTCATCGAAAAGGGAAAGGTGTTTACACTGCTCTAGGCCACCTTGGGGGTTTATTGAGGCCAGCTTGGATTATCTCTGGGGCTGTCAATCCGGGGGTTCGTAGAGGTGGGTGTCCCAAGGTGGGAGCAGGGAACGAACTCCACTGGATGCCCACATGTCTTTCTTCCAAGTGCCGTCTAGAGCGATTTTCTTCTAAGCCCACCTCTGCCTCTAGTCTGATTCGTGCCCAGATCGTGTTTTTTTATGTCCAAAATGCATGCCGAGACGTGGGCAGAGTGGGCTGCAAATGCTTGAAGGTGACCCTGAACCCTTCTCCTCCTCACACCCGTTGACCCCAGCCATCGTCCCCATCAAGGTCCCCACCAGTTTGCGGCAATGCAACTGAAGGAGTGCTGGAGGCCCCTACCTTGCCTCCTCCTTCCCCCTCCTCCTACTCCTCCGCTGGCTCCTCCCAGTCTACGTCGTCCTCATCCTCCTCCTCCTCCTCCTCCTCCTCCTCCTTTTGCTCCTTCTCTTCCTCCTCCTCCTCCTCCTCCTCCTCCTCGCGCCGGTCCAATGAGCCCCTGACCCGTCCAAGATGCCGCTTGATCTTCGGGCTCGCTTGCTTCGTCAAGTTGGCCGTGGTCTGGCGCTGCCTTGGCCTGCCGGCGCACTGAGGGCTGTGAGCCTCCACAGCCTGGAGGGCATGAACCTCAGTTGACGAGCCAACAAAACGCACCCATACCCATACCCATACTGGGTCGTTGGGAGGAGGACTGGCTATGGGTATAGGTGCGGGTTGTCGGACCCCGGGGAATGCTCCCGCCCGAGCGGGGACCCCCATCTGACAACACGCACACATAGCCCTCTCCGATCCCCCTATGGGTATGGTTGTGTGTTGTTGGTTCGTCACCAGTGACTTTAGTTCGGTGCCTTCTTCCAGTGCGTTGCCACCGCTCTCTCCGCTGTCGTCTCCGATCCGCCGTCTTTGTGAACTTGGCACTTCGCGGGTGATATCTCCTACTGAAGTGGATATCGAAGTCATGGCTGAGTTGGCGATTGCGAGTTCCTCTGGGCCGCCGGCTTCAGTGATGCACGAGGACGACGCTATGTCAGACGAGCAGCTTGACTACGTCTTCAAGTCGGCTCCCCCTGGTGGACTGACACCCACTGCTTGGAATGCTGCTTCGTCTTGGCCTGCGGGACGCTCAACTGACCCAGCACCTCCCCAGCCTCGCGCGCAAATCGACTGGGAGGTTCTAGATGTCGCTCATTGAGGCTCTCTTGAGTGTAGCGCGGAGATCGGGCGGCACACCTGACGGCAGACCATCTATCCTTGCGGAGGACGCAGCTTTTCCTGATGCTGTTCTTTACGATGATGTACCGGTCCCTGGTGGATTGGCCACCGACGCTGAACAGCCGCCTCGATCACATGAAGATCAAACTGCCCAAGGCGAACCTGTGCTGGAAAACACGGGCCGCTACCCTGCACAGGGCGTTGCTGAACCGTTCCCTTGACTCGATGATCCAATCGACGAAACGGAGACAGATGAGCGAGCGCACAACGAAGATGATCCCCAGTTTGATGGATATGATGTCGTGTCCAGTGGAGATCTCGCTGACCTTCTTGCTCATTCACCTGGAGGTGCTGTGGCTCCGGATTCCCCTACCGTTGTGGGCGGCCCCAATGACGTCGCCAATCTCTTCTGTGATGGTCAGATGGGTGCTCATGAGCCTGTCCATGCTGGTCAGGCGGATTTGCCGCCTTCGCCACCTTTCTTCGAACTCGTCGGGGATGGCGCTGGCTAGCTCGCAGCAGGTCGACCCACTCAACCAATGCATGATGATGGCCATGTCGGACGAGGATGATGCGACGTCCCCCCTGGATCCGATGGACATGCATGCTAAGTCGTTTGAGCAGGTCGGCGCGTCGATCACCGAATTTTGTCTGCAGCGGCTGCGGATGAGGAGGCGCAGGACTCGTTCGCAGAGGTGCTCGCGAGCGCCCAGGCTCGTCCACCTGGCCCACGTGTTCGTCTCGGGCATGGGCGAGTTCATCCCCTACCCCCGACGGCCTGGCCGCAGCGATAGGAGGGGGAGGAGGAAGAGGGGGAGGAGGAGGAGGAGGAGGAGGAGGAGGAGGAGGAGGAGGAGGAGGAGGAGGAGGAGGAGCAGGAGGAGGAGGAGGAGGAGGAGGAGGGGGAGGAGGAGGAGGAGGAGGAGGGGAGGGGAGGAGAGGAGGAGGGGGAGGAAGAGGAGGGGGAGGAGGAGAGGGAGGAGGAGGGGGAGAGGCACCGTCCCCGCGGGCGTCGGCCTCTCGTCGACGACTCTGGCGATGCGCAGGTCGAGAACGGTCTGCTCTTGACGGGCCCCGCCGCGCGCGGCGCCTAGAGAGGCGTATGGCGGACTCTCCTCGGGGCGCGGGCTCCTCCTCCTTCTCCTCCTCCTCCTCCTCCTCCTCCTGCTCCTCCTCCTCTGCCTCCTCGTGCTGCTCCTCCTCCTCCTCCTCCTCCTCCTCCTCCTCCTCCTCTTCCTCCTCCCCCTCCTCCTCCTCCTCCTTCTTCCTCCTCCTCCTTCTCCTCATCCTAACTCCGTCTCGAGTAAGATTTGGTTCAGACCAGTTTGGCTCACGAGCTGGCTCGAACCAGGTGGCCGTGCAATCCGCACCGTGTGGGGTTAGATCCGCAGGCAGCATGTTTGACCCAGCCTCGGACTTGTTGGGAAGCGCCAGGCGTCGCGCAGCTGAAAGTTGTTTTGTTTGTTTTATCTCCAGGCTACGGACTAGGAGGTCGACCACTACGTCCCCAAAATCGATTGCAAGTCCCAGGGGCAGGTGAGCACCACAGCGGGCGTGCAGCGGCAACGTGGGACGAGTTAGCCTTTTTGGTCAGGCATGCCCCATTATTCCAGGCTTTCGCTATTTATCATTTGTGTTGTTGAACCCGTGAATACAGTACACCTTGGGCTGTTTTGCACGACGGTCGGCATTTTGTTCCGAAGGCTGCTCCGGAAAAATACGCGACCGACCTTTGAGTAGATGCTGGTGGTTCAAAGTATGTCAAGCACGTGGTGGTTGCAGCATTGTGGGAAGGGAGAGCTTCTTGGGCCAGGCATACCCCACATGCTGTTTGTTTTTCCCGCAATGGCGGTCTTCTTGAGGAAGGAGATGAGGTGCGCAGCTGCGGGGCGCTTTTGTCTGCATTGGAGGGCTCGTTGCATGGCGTCGTCGTCCTACCTCGCGGTGTTTAGCTCAAGGCATTACAACTCACGCGTCAAGAGCGCGTGGCTTGGTGGCTTCAGCATCCTTGTGATGAGAGGGTGCCGCTTGTGAGTTGGCAGCCTCATTCTGCGGTTGTTAGCTGCGCGGGAGAATGGACGCGTTGGCGCCAACCAGGCGAGCATCGCATTGAACGTTCACTGCCGGCGCATCCTTAAGCCTCACTAGTATGTTGTCGTGGGCGGCGTGCTTGGGCAACCTCCCAGAGCCACTGCCTCCATGTCTTCTACGTCCATGTGCTGCGGGAGCTCGACACGATGAATGAGATACATATGTGACGACGCCGTGGTTGTGTTCGAGACTCGGGGCTTCAGCACCGCAGATATATTCTCAAAGCCCCGAATCATCAGGGGTAACTCGGGTCAGGGCTAACTTGGGTTCGCTTTTCGGGATTCCGAACCAGAGTTACCCCGGGCCCGAGCTACCACGGAAAATTCGGGCGTCCAGGGCCCCAAGTCATCAGGGGTAACTCGGGTCAGGGCTAACTCGGGTTCGTTTTTTTTCGGAAATCCATACCCGAGTTACCCAGGGCCCGAATTACCCCGGATAACTCGGGCGTCCAGGGCCCCAAATCATCAGGGGTAATTCGGGTCAGGGCTAACTCGGGTTCGCTTGTCGGGGTTCCGAACCCGAGTTAATTACCCCGGACCCGAGTTATCCCAGGTAACCCGGGCGACCAACATTCTGCCCTGGAGTGGCCCCCGGGGGGCCAACATATATTCGGGCCCCCGGCCGCCAAAATATATCCATATCCACCGCCCGCTGGGGCACCAGGGCGTCGCTTCCCAGGCGGTGGATCTGGATAAACCCCCGCCTCGCATGGAGTGGTAGGGACGTGGGGTCCGCTGTGTCTCCAGGGCGGCCTCGCGACCTCACGAGCCTGCGCGGGGGTGCTGGCGCGGGGGGGCGCGGCGGCCGAGCCGACTGCGCTGCCCTCTGCCCTCGAGTCCTCAAGCCCTCCCAATTCCCCCCCTCCCTCCCTCTTGCCTCCCTCCTTCTCTCCCTTCCCCCCCCTCCCTCTGAGCCCCCCCCCCCGCCCTCCCCCAACCTGCCCCTGCGCCCCCCCCTCCCCCCCGCGCGCCCTTGCCGCCGCCCGCGCCCAGGCCGCCGGGGAGCTCCCGGCGGACTCCGCCCGCGCCCCAGCAGCGGCAGCTCTCTGCGGTCCGGCGGCGGGCGTCTCCTCGCCGCGGCCGCGGTCTTCTCCCTCCTCGTCAGCCGCGCCCCTGCCTCGCGGGTTCCCGCCTCGCCGTCACCTCCCTCCCCTCCCCTCCCGTCCCTTCCCCTCCACACTTAAGCAATATGAAGACTACTCTCCTCTCTCCCCTGGTGGCGTCCAGGGAATGCTCGGCCCCGCTCCGCGCACTGGTCTTTTGCACGCAGGATTTCCCAGGAGTTGGGTTTTCGCTGAGGTTTCTTTCAAAATGCTGCTCTCGCTGAGGAGCTGGCCTCATTTGCGGGCTACCGCTCGTTCCGAATCGTGCTCCCGCTGCACCGCTGGCCTCATTTCCGCGGTTCCGCTCGTTCCGAATCGTGCTCCTGCTGCAGCTCTGGCGTCATTATTTCCAGCGCCATGCCACAGCACGTTTTTCGGTCCTTCCAAATGGACCCAAAATTTAGGAAATGCCCCCCGAAAAAAATCTTCGGAAGTGATTACACATTCGGTGCCGATTCGTTGATTTTTGGGGCCGTAGGACCCCCCCAATTTGGGGCGTCGCCACGCCATGCTATGTCAGGCTACGCGTCCTCATTTCCGCGGTTCCGTTTTTTTCAAAATTCTGCTCTCGCTGAGGAGTTGGCCTCATTTGCGGGCTACCGCTCTTTTCGAATTGTGCTCCTTCCGCTCGTTCCGAATCGTGCTCCCGCTGCAGCGTTGGTGCCATTAGTTCCAATGCCATGCCACGGCATGATTTCCGGTCCTTCCAAAAAGGCCCAAACATTTTTTTGTTTTTCATGATTCCTGAAGAAACCATCGGAAGTGATTCCACATTCGGTGCCGATTCGTTCATTGTTTGGGCCGCGGAAGCCACCCCACCTTGGGGCATCGCCACGCCACGCTATGTCATGCTACGCGTTATCTTCAACACCACTGCTCTGTACCTCGCTATGCATCGCAAACAAATCCGCCAGCGCACATTATCCTCGAGCGGGCACGCGCGAAACGCATTCTTAACATCAAGAATCCGACTTCGCCAATTCTTCGCAACGTATTCCGCCGGCCCTTGTCAAGTCGATTCCGGGGGTAAAATTCTTAAGAGAGAGCCCTGGGCCCCAGCCCTGTCCAGGAAAAAATCTTCACGCTTCGCGTATCCCCACCAGCCCATGTCAAAACAGCAACTCTTGCGAAGCATGCCGACAGTCGTGTTTTTCAGACGTGTTTCCGCCTGCCCCCGCATATCTCCCCTGTTCCTCCTTCCTCCCGCCTCCTTGTACATCCTCCTTGTGGTGGGAGCGGGAGAAGGACGAGGCGGAGGAGGAGGGAGAGAAAGCGCTCCTCGTGGTTTGAGTCGTTTGGGGTTTCTCGTCCTGGTGTGAGTCGTTCGGGCCCTTCTTCCTGGTGTGAGTCGTTCGGGCTCTTCGTGGTGTGAGTCGTTCGGGCTCTTCGTCCTGGTGTGAGTCGTTCGGGCTTCTCGTGGTGTGAGTTGTTCGGGCCCCTCGTCCTGGTGTGAGTCGTTCGGGCCCCTCCTCCTGGTGTGACTCGTTCGGGCTCCTCGTGGTGTGAGTCGTTCGGGGCCCTCGTCGTGGTGTGAGTCGTTCGGGCTCCTCGTGGTGTGAGTCGTTCGGGCGCCTCGTCCTGGTGTGAGTCGTTCGGGCCCCTCCTTCTGGTGTGAGTCGTTCGGGCTCTTCGTGGTGTGAGTCGTTCGGGCCCCTCGTCCTGGTGTGAGTCGTTCGGGCTCCTCGTGGCGTGAGGCGTTCGGGCACCTCGTCCTGGTGCAAGTCGTTCGGGCCCCTCGTAGGAGGAGTAGTAGTAGTAGTAGTAGTAGTAGTAGTAGTAGTAGTAGTAGTAGTCGTGGTGGTGGTGGTGGTGGGGGTGGTGGTGGTGGTGGTGGTGGTGGTAGTAGTAGTAGTAGTAGTAGTAGTAGTAGTAGTAGTAGTAGTAGTAGTAGTAGTAGTAGTAGTAGTAGTAGTAGTAGTAGTAGTAGTAGTAGTAGTAGTAGTAGTAGTAGTAGTAGTAGTAGTAGTAGTAGTAGTAGTAGTAGTAGTAGTAGTAGTAGTAGTAGTAGTAGTCGTAGTCGTAGTAGTAGTCGTAGTAGTAGTAGTAGTAGTAGTAGTAGTAGTAGTAGTAGTAGTAGTAGTAGTAGTAGTAGTAGTAGTAGTAGTAGTAGTAGTAGTAGTAGTAGTAGTAGTAGTAGTAGTAGTAGTAGTAGTAGTAGTAGTAGTAGTAGTAGTAGTAGTAGTAGTAGTAGTAGATGTCTTTTGGGAGCCTCTTGGAGGCCTTTTGGGGCGTCTTGGGGGCCTCTTGGCGGCCCCAGGGGCTTCTAGGAGCGTCTTGGGTGCCTTGGGGGAGCCTCTTCGGGCCTCTTGGGAGCCTCTTGGAGGCCGTTTGGGGCGTCTTGGGGGCCTCTTGGCGGCCCCAGGGGCTTCCAGGAGCGCCTTGGGTGCCTCGGGGGAGCCTCTTGGGGCCTCTTGGGGGCCTCTTGGGGGCATCTTGGGGGCCTCTTGGAGGCCTCTTGGGGCCTCTTGGGCCCTCTTGGGCGCCTCTTGGAGCGTCTTGGGGGCCTGTTGGGGCCATCTTTGGGGCGATCGATCACATGGGGCGAGCATTTTTGTCAGTCCCCCCGTCGGGGCCAGAATCCTCGTGAGGGGTGTCGAATTTTAGCCCTCCCAGGAGTCGAAAAAGACCCCTCCAACCACCCGCGAAAGGACCTCTCCAGGCCCAGGGGGAGGGGGTAGGGGGAGGGGTAAACCCCTCCCCGAAGGGGAAGAAGGGGGGTTGAGAACAGAGAGAGCTCGCTAAACCACTCACGCCCAAAGGGCTGGTGGGATTGCCGCGCCAGGATCTCAGGGGGGGTCGCATAGTACCAGTATGTCCTACTGCGTCCGACTAGAACACGAACGCTTTGCCGACCCCAGACCTCGCCGACGAATCCGACGCCGACGACGAGGACGCCCACGCCGGCGCCCACGCCCACGCCGACGCCCACGCCGACGCCGACGCCGACGCCGACGCCGACGACGACGATGACGACGACACCTCCAACGTCTCCAGCGACCTTCTCGAGGCCGCCGGAGGCCTCTGCGCTCCCCGAAGTGCGCCGCCTGCGCCCCGAGCCTACGCAGCGGCGCACCGCGCGCCGACGCCGCTGCCGAGGTGCTCACCGCGCCGGCGCCGCCGGGCCGCTCGCCGATCGAGGCGGCCGCCAGGGCGGGGGCGGCCTCCTCCTCCTCCTCCTCCTCCTCCTCCTCCTCCTCCTCCTCCTCCTCCTCCCTCCTCCTCCTCCTCCTCCTCCTCCTCCTCCTCCTCCTCCTCCTCCTCCTCCTCCTCCCTCCTCCTCCTCCTCCTCCTGCTCCTCTTCTTCTTCCTCTTCCTTTTTATGCTAAACAAACCTTAGGAAAGTACCTGTGGCGTTCTTCAACCTCCTGCTCCTGCTCCTGCTCCTCCTCCTCCTCCTCCTCCTCCTCCTCCTCCTCCTCCTCCTCCTCCTCCTCCCCCTCCTCCTCCTCCTCCTCCTCCTCCTCCTCCTCCTCCTCCTCCTCCTCCCCTCCTCCTCCTCCTCCTCCTGCTCCTGTTCCTCCTCCTCCTCCTCCTCCTCCTCCTCCTCCTCCTCCTCCTCCTCCGCCTCCGCCTCCCCTCCGCCTCCTCCTCCTCCTCCTCCTCCTCCTCTCCTCCTCCTCCTCTTCCTCCTCTTCCTGCTCCTCCTGCTCCTGCTCCTCCTCCTCCTCCTCTTCTTCCTCCTCCTCCTCCTCCTCCTCCTCCTCCTCCTCCTCCTCCTCCTCCCCCTCCTCCTCCTCCTCCTCCTCCTCCTCCTCCTCCTCCTCCTCCTCCTCCTCCCCCTCCTCCTCCTCCTCCTTCTCCTCCTCCTTTTACGCTAAACAAACCTTAGGCAAGTACCTGTGGCGTTCTTTAACCTCCTCCTCCTCCCTCTCCTCCTCCTCCTCCTCCTCCTCACCCTCTTTCTCCAGATCCTGGCGTTGCAGTTTTGTTCACACAGGGCGTTGTCGCTCGTTGTTGGGCCCCGGGGCCCTCACAGGTCGATGCGACTCGAGGGGTGGCGCAGGAAGCTGGGGTCCAGGGCTCTGGGCGCGATTTTTCGCGGTGTTGCATTTTGTTCTCAACGTTGGATCTCAGGGGTTGACGATCTAGCCATGCGGTCGGAGTGGATGGGGTCGGAGGATCGCGCCGCCTCGCCGATGCATCGCCGATGCGGCTCCAGTGTAGCCCGATTTGCTTCGCGCAGACGTCGCCGATGCACCGCTAGTGCGTCGCCGATGCGTCGCCGATGCGTCGCCGACGCGTCGGCGAGGCGGCGCGATCCTCCGACCCCGTCTCAGAAGTCATGAATATCGGCTGTGCAAAAAGAATGGCAGAAGAACCCCATCTTTGCGGGCCGGTCGAGGCCGCGGCGGCGCTTCTGGCGGTTCCCGTGCTGCGCGGGGCCTCCCGGAGAGGCTCCTCGTCGCCGCGGCGCTGCCGGCCTGCCGGTGTCACGCGCGCCGCTGGTGGTGCTGCTCCAGGAGAGCACACCCTCTGCGAGGCGCAGTCAACCCGCGCGCATGGTAAGGGTGGGCCACCCTCCCAAGGGTACCCCTTGCATCCTTCAGAGCATAGCTCGTTCTCCTCTTTTTGGGCCTCCTGGGAGGCCCGCTGGATTCGCCTCGAAATCTTGGTCAGAACGCACCCCGGGAGAGGTCCGGGGAGTAGCGGTATCGGTACCTTGTGGTTTCCCCAGGAAAGATGGACAACCTTCCCAAGGGTACCCCCTGCATCCTTGCCTCCTCGGCCCATGCTTGGCGACTCTCGCTGGCCAACCTCGTTCGGAGAACGTTCACGTGGCCTTCCAAGGCCCTTGCATCCTCACCGCCCATCCTCATGATGCGGGTTGGCTGCATCAAGCGCCAGTGGTCGTATTGCTCCAGGAGAGCACACTCCGCGAGGCGTCCCGTGACATCAGAGAGGTCGCCGACGAGGAGAGATGTCTTGTCTGGAAAGAATCATCGCCGCCACGGCTGGACCCGCCTCAGGGAAGTGGCGAGGTTGGGCCTTGGATTTGGCCGCCTTGCGCCCCCCTAGGTCCGCGCACCAAAGGTCACTCTTGCCCAGGGTCATCCCTGCGTGTCGCCGATTGATTTCGGCCGCGACGATGGGGGTACGGTGGGGGCGTTCGTTAAGGAATGTGCCGAAGAGGCTTCAGACCCTGGGGTATTCCTTGTCCAATGAGGGCGGCGGTGATATCCATGGCCAGTCCACGATTGGAGCCCCACTGGCGTCCAGACCCTGGATTCCTTATCGAAGGTTTCCTTATCTCACGCCGTCACCGTATGATCATTTGTCGCCCGGCGGTGTTGGTAGACCTGCGGCCTTCGGGACCGTCTTCGGGCCCTGCAGGGCCATCAGACACGAGCCGCCCGGGGCGCGAAGCTGGTGGAGACGTGGCCGAGATCAGGCCGTGGCGGAGCGTCCTGGCCTGCCTATGGGCCCCCCGAAGAATGTTCTGAGAGCCTGTTGTGGTTTACACGAAATGTTTTTCGAGCATTTCTGGCTGAGACTGCCGCAGTTTGAGCGCATCGGCTCTATGTTCTAAGAGCACCCTTCTTGGATCCTAGAACACTCTCTTTTTGGAAGAACATCTCGCGGTAGGCCTATAGGAATGCCAGGACGGTCGGTCCAGGCTCAACGAGCCCTCATCCCAGACGTCCGGCGTCCTGGGTTTTTTCGAGGCACAGGCCCCCGACCTCTCGACGGTTTTTCACCCCTAGCCGTTTTGGGACGGCCCCGAGGCCCGGTAAGGGCCCCGAGAGGCCAAAAAGCATTGAACAACTTCCGTCTCGATTTTGTCCGCGACGCTGGACGTCTGGGATTGGGGCCGCGCGCTGGAACAAAAATCGCATCGGCGGAGGTCCGCCTCTGCAGCGCGGGGGGCGGCGGGCCCTTCGGAGCAGGGCGCCCACCCGGTCCACCTGGCCCCGCGCCTCGGGGGCCGGCTCTCTCCCTCCGCCACCGAAAGCACAGCCAGATAAAATCAAATAACCGCCCGTGCCACGCGTGGAGGCCGTCCCGCCCCGCCGCCCCCCGCGGCTCGCCGCCTGGGCCGGCCCGTGGCTGCAGGAGACCGCCGCCGCCGCCGCCGCCGCGCCAGTCCCACCGCCGGCGCCGCCGCCGCCGTCCCCCCCCCCCCGTTGGTGGTTGTCAGCCGGCGGTGTCCCACGATCGCTTACAGTAGGGGCCCGACCACAAGAAACCTTCCACAAGAGACCCAACCCTGAGACCCCAGGACGTCCATTGATTTCTGGTGTGGGAGCGTCACGCTTTCCATAGCTAAACCATCAAAACCCCAAAAACCCAGGGCACCCTGGAGGCAAGCAGGGTGTTTCTTGGCATGGGCCTCGGGGGGGGGGGGTACCGAGGGCTGCCGAAAAGAGGTCCTCTGGGGCCCCTCGCCAGGCCCTGTGTGGTGTATGGCCCAGGAGGGGCCCTTTAGGGCCCGAGCAGGGCACCTTTCTCCCCCCCAATATATCGCCCCCCCCATTTGTTCACGCCCGATCCTCCTCCTCCTCCTCCTCCTCCTCCTCCTCCTCCCTCCTCCTCCTCCTCCTCCTCCTCCTCCTCCTCCTCCTCCTCCTCCTCCTCCTCCTCCTCCTCCTCCTCCTCCTCTCTCCTCCTCCTCCTCCTCCTCCTCCTCCTCCTCCTCCTCCTCCTCCTCCTCCTCCTCCTCCTCCTCCTCCTCCTCCTCCCCAACTATCGCACCCCCATTCGTTCACGCCCAAGGGCCTCCTCGCCGTTGTCCGGCCCCGGGGCCATCAAGAACGGGTCCATAGACGAACGAACTGCGCGGTCGGGATTTCCGGGGCCGCGACGCGGAAAAGTCAGAGCGGCGTGGGGGAAGAGCTGCTTGCTGGGTGCTCGCGGTGCCTGCGGAGCTCAGAGGGCGAGGGGGGTGGAGGCCGAGCCCGAGGGACTGCAGGAGGGGGAGCAGACAGAGGATTGTCAGAGCGTGAAATACCTACCCCGCTTTCGCTTCCAGGCAAAACCAAGTCATACCACGCGCCTCCTCGTCAAGCGGCCTGACCAGTACAGGCTGCAATTTGGCATCGTTTGGTATCTCTTGGAAGCGAGGGTGGTCAAAAGCGAGGTAGGTTTGTTTCCCCCCTAGATTGGGGGGGGAGCCGGGGGGTGCGGACGGAGCGGTGGAGGGAGCTTGGGGATGGGATGGGGGCGTGCAGGGGGGGGGGCAGGGCGGCGGGAGGGGGCGGGGAGCAGCATGTTCGATGCGTCACATTATGTTGTCGGTGTGCTTCGTACGGCATACCAGCGCCAGTTTTCGTGCGGGACAGTGCGAGGAATCAAGCGGATCAGCGGGATGATGAAGACGCGCGGGAAGAGTTGCGTGCCAGCCAGCGGTGATGAAGATCGCGGGGACAGAGGGGACATTCTATAATCATATTTGGAGGCTGCCGTGGTCAGTCGTGGCGCATCACGTGTGGTGTGCTTTCGGATGGGTGGTCATAACGCTTATATCGGCAAACGGTTTCGACAGGGCGCGACCGCTTCCAGTACGCAGGCGCGCAAGGTTCCCACCGAATGAGGGTCATTAGCCTACACAACCTCTGGCCACTTTGCGTGATATCCTTTGGGCAAGCTGTGAGATTCTGAACGCTTCGCCTGGTCCCACCAGCCCATCCAAAAACGATGTCCAGGCGAGGTGTGCTGATCAGGGATGTGGGACCTCTTGGGGCCTCTTGGGGGCCGCTTGGGGGCCTCTTGGGGGCGTCGTAGGAGCCTCTTAGGGCCGCTTGGGCGCCTCTTGGGGCCATCTTGGGACTCTGTTGGGGCCTTGGAGGCTTTCCTTGGAGACATCTCGGAGGATAGCGATCAGAGAGGGGGTGTACTCAACTATCGTCCCCCTCGGGAACCCCGCTCTTTTGGGCCGTCTTGGCGCCGTCTCGGAGGCCTCTTCGACCGCATTAGAGCGATCTTGGAAGCCTCTTTGGGGACGTCCTGGAGCTCCGGACGCCAGAAAAGGCGAGAACGCCCAAATCCTTCAAGTCATGTCGCTCCCCTTCTGTCTGCAAGTCGCATGACTCAGGCGGTACTGCAGAGGTACCATTTGAGTCATATCAATCCTAGCGGGCCTCGATCACTACAGCGCCCAAATGGTACCACTTAGGTTATACAGTCGGGGCGCTGACCTAAGGAACCCTAAATAAGGAACGAGGCCCCTTTTCCCCAAAAGTTGAACTTCGATTCCCCATGGAAAACCTCAGGGCAACCCAAGGCAAGCTGCACAACAATCCAGGAACACCGAGCCCCTCCCCAACGAAAAGGGTTCCTTCTTCAGCGCCCCGACTGTATGGCGGCGTTTTTTGCATGCAAGTGTTATTACTCAAGTGGCACTCAAGTGGTATCACTTGGGCCACAGCGATCCCAGCGGGCCTCGATCCCTCGCGCCTGGGTTGTAGGCCAGGGGCTGTTTTGCGTATCGAGGATTCCTCGGGTGTCCCTTGTGAGGCCTCTTCGAAGCTTCAGAACATGAGTATAACGATGCGAAGGAACGAGGGGAGGATGAGCAGGATACGGGGAAGGAGGAGGAGGAGGAGGAGGAGGAGGAGGAGTAAAATGATGATGAAGATGATAATGAGGAGGAGGAGGAGGAGGAGGAGGAGGAGCAGGAGGAGGAGGAGGACGAGGAGGAGGAGGAGGAGGAAGAATGATGAGACACACGGGAGGACATGTGGTGAGCTACTTGGGATGCCTCTTCTGTGCATGCAAGCGGTATGACCCAGTTGGTACCCAAGTTGTGCCTCCTTTGAGATGCTTATCGGGGCGTCCCAGTAAGAGAACGATGTGGAGGATTTGGGGGGATGAGCGGGAAAAAGATGAGGAGAAGGAGGAGGAACAAGAGGAAGGTGACGATGATATGAAGGATGATGAGGAGGAGGGGGAGAAGAAAAGAGCAGAACGACAGGAACAACGGGAGGACGTGTGGTGACCCCCCTTGCGATTCTGGTACGGCTTGGGTCGGTGCCGCGAGTGGGATGAGAGCAGGAGCCAAGAGGGGAGCAGCGGCACCAACAGCAGCAGAATGCATTCGCGCCTGCTCGCGTCCACACCGGCGTACTCGCTCTCGGGTTGGCCTGCGCTCGTGAGGCTCGTGGTAGCACCCGGGCCCGTGTGCTTCGAGTGCATTCGCCAATTGCACGAGCACATCTAGGGCACCCGCGGGTGCGCGAAGGTCATCGCGGTCTGGGCCGGAGCGGCCGCCCTTCTCCAGGCTTGCGGCGCGGGGGCGCGAGGTGCGTGAAGAGAGCAGCGCGTCGCGCATCGCGGGGCGCGACGCGCGAAGTCAGGTGGCCGAGCAAACAAGTCGGAGATGCTGCGCACCCGCCGGTGCAGGTTGATCACAGCTGCGTCTCGAATCCCAGTGCTCAGCCAAGTGCAGGCGATCGGGCAACGCTGCCCTCTCGAGCTCCTGACGCTTCGCGTGCTCCTGCCAGCGAATCTGAACAGGACTCCCAGGCGAGCTGTCGTGCAAGGGGAAGCGGAGGAGCGCTGGTGAAACAGACAGGGGGGACACCAGTGTTCGCCGGCGCGCCCGCGGGGGGAGGCAGAGGGGGAGGGGGGCTTCTTCACAAGGTTCAGAAGGCCTCCAGCCTTCCAAGGTGAGAAGATTCCTGAGCTCTCTCCATAGAGGTGGCTTCTCAGAAGGCCGGATGGCTTGTGAAAAGCCCCGCCGACTTTTGAGAAGGCTGACCCCAGCTCACTTCCACCCTGGGCTCGTCGCCGAAGAGAGGGAGGACGCCAGATCAAGCCGAAGCTGGGGTCAGCCGCAGAAGCCCCCGACAGTGTCCGACTCGGCGACGTTCCGGAGCATGCGAGAGGGAGTTAGTTTCGATGATTACGGCGTGACGATGATGTTGCAACCATTTCAGCGATGGTAGCGGTTGTGGCCTTGACGCTCTATGACAGTGGGAGGCGTTGACATCTTGATTCCAGCAGTGGCCGCGCATCCCGCAGCACGTCTGCCTCCCGCCCCGAGGACTGTGACACACCTGCTCCATGAGGGCATGCGATGGCTCTGAGCAGCCCAGTCGGCTCGCGCATCCGCTCTGTTCGGGAGGCAGGATCGTCGAGCACGCCGAAACTGAAATTCCAGGCGATATGCGAACGAAGCCACGCTGACCGCTCGAAGATGGCAGGGGTAGCCACTGCCGCCCGGGAAGCCTCCCGCCCAGATCCTCGAGGCGGATCCAGCCGTGGCCACGCGGGCGCCCCGGGGGCATCCTCAAGAAGCCTCCAGAGAGCGAACCGGAGGGTTCCAAAGAAGGTTTTTTGGGGAGAGGGGGTTTCCAGAGAGCCCCCCAGGGGCCTTGGAACCTCGTCAAAACAGGGGGTGCGAAGCCTCTGGGCGAACCTCCGCTCCCTCTGACCAGGTTTTCGCGGCGGACCGCACAGACCGCACAGACTGCACACGGTTTTGGCACCGGCGGGAGAGAGGGGTTTGACGCAGCAGCGTTTCCCAACCTCCGCAGCCATCTGCCTCAGAGGCCCCACAGAGGGCCGCGCTAGTGGCGCGCATTTTGCGCCGTACACGCGTTGAGACTAGAGGAGGAGGAGGGGGAGGCGGAGGAGGGCGGCGCGCGCCGCGGCTCCCCTGGGCGTGCGTCGGGCCTGTCCCTCCACAGGGCCTGTAGGGGGACGTGCCCGACCCAAGGCTGGACCTTCTCCCTGGGGGAGGGGGGCTCTTCCACCCTGAGGCCCCCTCTGACGGCCCCGGGGCGGCCCGGCGAGGGGCCCCAGAGGCCGAACAATTTTGGACCGACCTCCGCGCGGAGCTCCTCGAGGCGTTGGGGCCCCAGAGGCCGAACAGCCGCGGACAAACCTCCGCGCGGAGCTCCTCGAGGCGTTGGGGACCCCAGAGGCCGAAGACAGCTATCAAAACCCGCCGGCATGGGGGACACGTCCGCCTGCAGGGGGACATGCCCGACCAAACCCTGGGCGCCCCTCTCCCAGACGCCGCCCTTTGGCCCTCGGCCCTGCCCCTCGGGTCTGGGGCCCAGGGCCCCCGGCGCCCCGAGGGGCTCAGCGCGCAGAGGCTTGTTCGCTGTCGTCGGCCGCTGGGGCCCCAACGCCTCGAGGAGCTCCGCGCGGAGGTCTGTCCGCGGCTGTTCGGCCTCTGGGGCCCCAACGCCTCGAGGAGCTCCGCGCGGAGGTCTGTCCGCAGCTGTTCGGCCTCTGGGGCCCCAACGCCTCGAGGAGCTCCGCGCGGAGGTCGCTTCGAAGTTGTTCGGCCTCTGGGGCCCCATCGCCGGGCCGCCCCGGGGCCGTCAGAAGGGGCCTCAGGATGGAAGAGCCCCCCCCCCCCGCCCGGGAAGAAGGTCCAGACTTGGGTCGGGCACGTCCCCCTACAGGCGGATCTTGGGCGAAACATTCAAAATATTACATATGATTCAAGAAATAGTCCCGTATTATTTGTGGGATATTTTTGAATATTCCTCCTGTAGAGGGACATACCGAACTTACGTCCAGACGTCTGGGGACCCCGCATTGAGAAGACGCTCGAGACATCGGATGTCCAGGTGTAGCGGGTGCGTCCAAGGAGGGGTGGGAGGACCAGGGGTGGGTGGAAATCCTTGCCGGGGCCACGACGTGCCCACGATGTCATGGCCCCACTTCTATCGGCGCGCTCCCCTGCCCCCCCCCGCCCCCCCTGCTCGTCCGCGCACATGCCTCGGGCCACGATGCGCATCCCCCTCCTCCTGCCCCCCCCCCCTTCTTCGGCGCACCCTGGCGCACGCCCTGACGTCGTCTTCACGTCGGAGCCACCCTTCACGTGGCCGCTGGTGCGCGGCCTTCGGGCGGCTCCTCCTCCTCCTCCTGTCCTCCTCCTCCTCCTCCTCCTCCTCCTCCTCCTCCTCCTCCTCCTCCTCCTCCTCCTCCTCCTCCTCCTCCTCCTCCTCGGGGGGGGGGCCAGCCCGAGCATGCAGGCCGTCGCTGCCGCGGCGCATGCAGCGAGGCCGCGCACCCGAGGCCACGCGTTTGCCCCCAAGAGTCCCCGCGGCGCGTGGCCGAGGCCAGCCAGGAGGCCAGGACGGCGCGCCCGCCAGGCCTGACCGGCACAAGGGCCGGCCCGTCGGGACAGCCCTCGGGGCAACCCTCGGGGCACTCCCCGGGGCAACCCTCGGGGCAACCCTCGGGGCAACCCTCGGGGCAACCCTCGGCAGCCATCGGGGCAACCCTCGGGGCAGCCAGCGGGACGGCCAGCGGGACGGACCGTCGGGACGGCCCGTCGGGGCAGGCAGCCGTCGGGACGGCGCCACGAGGCCCACCAGCGGGACCCGGCCGTCGAGACGAGCCGGCCCTCCAGGCGGCCCTCGGGCCAGGAGCGGTGCGCGGGCGGACGGCTGCGCGCGCGGGCGCCGGGCGGGCCGAGGCCGCGCGCGGGCTCTGCGCGCCAGGCTGCGAGCGCGAGCCGCCCCGGGGCCGCGCGGAATTCGTGCCGCGGCCGCGCCCGCCGCGCGCCCGGCCGCGGCGGCGCGGCGCGGGCCCCGCCCAGGCCTCCGACGCCTCGAGAACCCCAACGCGTACGAATACGACGACGACGACGACGACGACGACGACGACGACGACGACGACGACGACGACGACGACGACGACGACGACGACGACGACGACGACGACGACGACGGCGGCGGCGGCGGCGGCGGCGGCGGCGACGACGACGACGACCCAGTTTTTCGCAGTGTTCGGCTTCTGGGGGTCCTCGTCTGGCCCCAGGGCCGTCGAAATCGACTCGGGATGAAGAGCTCGAGTGCTGCCGCATGGCCCCTCGGCCTCAGCGTTGACTCTGGATTGGACCATGATGAAGCCAAACTTTGTCGGCCACAGCTTGAGACAGCAGGCGTCCAGATGCTTGCCACGAGGTGTGAAGGCGCCCCGCGATACCGTCGGCTCAGATTAGTAGGCCGACCCTGCCAGATCAAGGGCACCCCTGTGTCCTGTGCCTCGCGACCCATGCCTTCGTACATCCGTGTCCTCTCGCGACCCATGCCTACGTCCGACCCTCTCACGACCCATGCCTACATCCGTGTCCTCTCGCGACCCGTGCCTCGCGACATCCTGTGCCTTCGCGACCCATGCCTACGTCCGACTGCAGTTTGGGCGGCTCTCGTGCCGCTGGCGATGCGCTGCGATGAAGAGCCGGGTCTCGCGGCCTCTCGGATCGACTACACGTGGGACTGGTGGAGGTCAAATACTGAAGAGGAAGCAGGCTGCCAACACATTCCAAGATGTTTAAAGGATGTTTCAACTATGCCTTGAATGTGTTAACAACACGCCTGAAACATTGTTAGAGCATGTTTTGCACAGTTTAGACACATCTTGACTTCGACGATCGGATTGTTGGAGTGTCCATTGCCATGGCGTCCACAAACGTAGGAGCGACCTGTCGCCAGAGTGGCCCTTGCTGCGGGCGCGCCGGGGTCTGCACGCACTGCGACAGCAGGGTCCTGCGCGCTCGGCTCTGGCCTTCACCCGCGGCCCTCGAAGGTCGCGCATCGCAGGACACTCTCGCCTGCACACTGCTCGTTCCTAACTCTTCGAGGGTTCTTTGATTTTTTTTGGGGGGGGGCCAGGATCCTTTCATCTCTAGTTGTTCTATCCTGGGCCTCTTCCTGGCCACTAGAGGGGGCCAGGAACAAGTAGAAACGAGCACAACTAGAAATGAGCACGATTAGAAAGGAACGACGTGTAGGGTCAGGCCATGCTTGCGTGCACAGTCGGCCCGCAGAAGAAGGGCGCGCGATGAGGATGCGAGGGCCTCGGGAGGGCCACGTCAGCATCTTGCGCGCGGGGCGCGTGCAGCGAGAGCGGCCAAGGAGGGGCCGGAAGGGAAGGATGCAGGGGGGGGCCTTGGGGAAGTCGCTCGTCCTTATACTGTGCGGGTTGGCTGTGGCCGATCGGAGGGCAGGACGCTGGATAACGAGGAGGAGGAGGAGGAGGGGGAGGAGGAGGAGGAGGAGGAGGAGGAGGAGCAGAAGGAGGAGGAGGAGGAGCAGGAGGAGGAGGAGAAGGAGGAGGAGGATGAGGAGGGGGAGGAGGAGGAGGAGGAGGAGGAGGAGGAGGAGGAGGAGGACCAGTGTAAGCCCAAGAGTCATCAGCGATGTTGGAATAAACCCTCCCTCCAAGCTCCCTCTTCATAGGCCTCTACAACGGTTTGTTTCCACTGAGGGAACTGCCTCGTTAGAAGACAACTATTTGAAGACCCTGAGGCATGCCAAAACATTATTATCTGGATTCCGACGCCGCAGATTATCCTCACTGTTGCACCGAAACATGATCGACCCACGAACCCGGAAAGGAATGTAGAACTGTAACACATGGCAGCGTTTTCAAAGACACTTGCTTGGGTGACGGGCAAATGCAATACTGAAGGTATCGATCTTGATGTACCCTGCCGAGGGCTGTGCTGTGCTGCGCCGTGCTGAATTGCGATGTGCCATGGCGCGACTGTGCTCTATAGCCTCGTGGATCGAGTCCTCCTTTGCATCCGAGTCCTGACCGAACTGATCTGGATCTTAAGCTCGAGCTGCCTGAACACATAGTAGCTGCCCCAGAGCTAATGGACAGGGGAACATGCCAGGAGGACGCGCCGCGAAACGTCCCAAGGGATGCGCCAGGCGACGTGCCAGGGGACGTGCCATGGGGTCGCACCGCGGGACGTGCCAAGGGGACGCGCTACGGAACGTGCCAATGGATGTGCCACGGGATGTGCCAGGGGACGCGCGACGCGACGTGCCAGGGGGACTCGCCAAAGGACGCCCCACGGAACGTGCCAAGGAACGTGCCAAGTTGCAATGCTGAGTGCATCGACCTTGATGTACCGTGCCGAAATCAGTGCTGTGCTGCGCCGTGCTGAATTGCGATGTGCCATGGCGCGATTGTGCTCTACAGCCTCGTGGATCGAGTCCTCCTTTGCATCCGAGTCCTGACCGAACTGATCTGGATCTTAAGCTCGAGCTGCCTGAACACATAGTAGCTGCCCCAGAGCTAATGGACAGGGGA